GGAAGGGGGTTGGAGGGATATTCAGGAGAGATGGGGCAGGAACCAGGGGGAAGGAGATGGTGGGATTTAGGGAAGATTGAGGGAAACAGGGGAAGGGGGTGGTGGAATTTAGGGAAGATTGAGGTGAAGAAAATGAGGGGGAATCCAGGGGAAGTTGGGCAGCGCTGAGGGAAAGGAGAAGGGGGAAATTTAGGGAAGCCTAAGGGGGAACAGGGTTTTGTGGGATCCAGGGGAGGTGAGCAATACACGGGGTGGGGGGCGGCACTGGTGTAAAAGGGGTGCGGGGCATCCAGGGGAGATGAGTCAAAACTGAGCAGGGGGAAAGGAGCTGTGGGGGATCCAGGAGAGATGCGGGGAAGAAGGCAGGTAGGAGGGTAAGAAGGGGATCAGGGAAAGGGGGTGTGGGGCACCCAGGGAGATGGGCCAGGACATGAGGGGTGGAGGAAGGAGTTTGTGGGATTCAGGGAGGTGGAGTAGGAGGTGATGGGGGCTGAGGGGGATGCAGTGGGATAAGGGCAAGATGTCGGGAGTATCCAGGAGCTGTAGAGGGGTTCCCTGGCATTGACAGTTGACAGGGATTATGTGGGAAGGGCTGGAAAAGAAGGTGTGATGAGCAGGAGCTTGAGCCAGAGCACTTTCCTGCTCTATGGAGGGCGAGATTGCTCTAGCTGCAGATCTTACCAATAAAACACTCCCAGGGACTCCTCTCTCACTCACATCTCTGCACTGTGCATTGGAAATAGCGTCAGAAGACAAGATTCAGGAAATAATGATGGCCTTGGTCAGCTCAACCCAGCAGGGATGAGGTGCCATGCTGTCAGTGCCAAGGTGCCTGGCCTCTGCTGCGCTGATGACTTGTTTCGTGACTGCGGCCCAGAAACTGTCCCCTTCTGTCTCAGTTTCTCCATCAGTAAAGCAGATTCGTAGTGGAGTTTCAGCAGTGACTGTGTGGTTTTGAAGATGAGCAAACGAATGAAGCCAAGAGACGGATTTTACATCGGGGCCTATTTTCTTTTTGTGTTGCTGACTTGGTTGGTGACATTGGGCATGTCCTTTCATCTCGTGAAACCCCACTGCCCTCCTCTAAAACAGGGCAAGGCTTGCCTCCCTCTGAGAAATCTGGCAAGATCCTCGCCTAAAAGTCCGAAGCAGTAATAGCAGTTTTGAGTGGTAGTTACCAGAATTTGTTTGTTTCTGTGCTGCACTTTGTACAAGCACGTCCCCTGGGCTTTGAAGTTATATCAGGTGCCTTTTTCTTATTGCAAGGTCAGTGGTAAGACACAGTGGCTTGGATTACCCGAGGTGTGGGCTGCGTTGTCGTGCTGGAAGTGCCTCCAGGGCTGTGGAGCTCTGTATCTGCTGTCACATTGAGATACCCGAGTTGATCTCAGGGGTGGCTTCCCACATGTCCTAGTAGTTGAGCTAGTGCAGCGTAACACGTTGCCCACTGCCACCTGAGGCATGGTGGGCAGGACTGGAGAGGATGTATGTGCTCCTGCTTGCAAAATAGAATGCGTTTTGTTTAAACCACCTTCGTCATGGTTTAAGATGTGTTTTACTTTGTGGTCACAGTGGACCAGGAATGTGTGTGCTTCTTAGCTCAAAGTGGTACCTCGCTATGCTGGTGGAGCTCACAAGTGAACGTCCCTTGACGAGACATGGGGTTGGTCATCAAGGCAAGGAAGCAGTTGTTTTCTGTTCAAATTTGTATGGCAGAATAAGGTGTGTGGTTACTTTCTAGCATCTTTACAGCAGAAAAAGAAAACCACACGCCTGTAGAGGTGGCTCTTCTTTTAGCTGGGAGTAAGTATTGTGATTTTAGTGCAGGATTTATATTACCTGCAGTGGCCACAAATTTTCTTGCCACGTAGCTGATAGCTCTCTTAGCAAACTTTCTACCTTAACAGTCTCTTGTCAATTCTTCTCTATTTCAGCCTGCAGTTCAGTTAGATGAAGCGGTAACTTCCTGGCCTCTAAGAAGCACATTGTACTTTGTGTGATGGCTGACTGTCTCTGGAAACTTTTGGCCATTGGATTAAACAGTGCCTTCGAATCACAGATGTTTGAATGTCACAGTCCCAGCTATGAACTGTGCTCGCATGGTTTCAGCTTTGTGTCTGCTTGTGAGAGCACTGGGAGTTGAGTTCAGGTCTCCACGGTTCTTGGCAAGTATGTTGGCCATTGGAGTGTGCTTTTGGAGATGAGGTTGCCCGTCGCTGTTCATAGGATGGTCTTTCATTTAAGTCTTCCTGGACTGGTAATCCCCAAGTTTCACCTCAGAATGTGGCGACTGGGTTATCCTGGGTGCTGTTTTACAATGTATGTTATAGCGTAGGGTCACCAGATTTATTTTACAGATTTCTTTTCTGGATTCTGGGTAACCATTAGCTCATTGGCTTTGCGTTACTATTCTTGTCTGCCAGCCTTGTTCTGGGCAG